GGAGAGAGAAGACAGAGGGAGGGGTCTTTATAAGATAACTCCTGAGGTTGGTCAGGGCCGTCGGGTCATGAGATGTAGAAGGGAAGAAACAATTTTAACGAGAATGAGAATAGGGCACACTGGTCTTAATACCACATAGCATCTAATAGGGAAGCATCCGTCAGGAAACTGCGATGACTGTAAGGTGTCAGAGACAGTGGAACATATTTTAATCAAATGCGGAAAGTTTAAAAGAGACAGGATTTTACTTAACAGGAAAATAGAGGATTGTGGGGAAAAGTTTACCCTAAAAGACATATTATCAAAAGAATCAGACCATAGAGTGATAACGTATTTGTTTGATTTTTTTAAAACACACTGGACTCGTTAGAAGAATTTAAAATATGCATGCATAAGTTATCTTTTTTGTTTTAGTAACTGTAGCTTGCAAGCTACGAAACTGCTTCGGAAGTTGTAAGCCATAGAGGTGACACATGCACAAACTGTCTGGTGGGTGGCGGTAATGCGCTGCACTACAGTAGTTCGCAACCGCCGTTAAGCAAACAAAGGCCCAGTCCCAATACCCACACTGCACCCTACGCCCTCCTATGAAGTGTGCATTTGTTTGAAGTGCGCGCAAGGGTTTGAGTGCGCAGGTTGCAAGAGTGCACAAAAGGTGGAATTGGGACATTGCACACTGAGTGCAGGTTACGTCATCGACTCGTCAAGAGATGGTCATTTTCAGACCTAAACTTTTTTTAAATTAAAGGTAATTTTGTCTGACCCTTTGAGAAACAAATTGAATTGCTTCACACACGTTAAAATACATGTATATTAGTGGTTTTTAATTAGAGTTAGCTGTATAATTTTAAGTTAAATGTGGGTAACTCACTATCTGGTCAGTTTTTATACATTCTAAGATTATTGTACTAAGTGTAAAGTTTAAATTGAATGTTATATAAACGCTTGTTTTAAAAAGTTATTAAATTGTTAAAACACAATGTCCGTAATTCTTCATCAGACGTTTATGCTTCTTTCCAAGTAACATAGCAAAACTTATTTACACACATACTGCACATATATTTCAAAATGTATATTTAAATGCATTTTCCCGACGTTTTGGTGTGTACCGCAAAGAATTATGGGCAATATCCTTCGCCAGAGTGCGCATAGATGCAGGCTACGGCGAAGTGTGGATCAGGGCCGCAAAGGGGGCGGGGCCAAAGACCTCCCTGGAGAATTCGGGCGTTCTGCTCTCCCAAAATTCCATCCGATGGGCGGGGGAGCGACTGAATTTTGCGTTGCATTATGGGTAACACTTGCCTTCGCAACTTCCGGTTCTCTCTGCCCGGCGCATTTTCTCTAAATGGTTGAGTGTTTTCGTCATTTTCTGTTGAATCCGGTTTTATCATGGGCTTCAAGTGTGCCGCCGCTAATTGTCGATCTAACAGCAATAAAAAACTGAGTCGATATCCGTGGATGTCAAGCGTGCGGTGGGTCAAGTGGCCGAAAACACCGCCGTTTTCGTTCACTCTGCTCACTGTCATCTTCTTCTAAATCTTCATAAACACCATCCGCTCGTTGAACTAGCAACAACAATTCCTCCTTTCGTTTTCCCACACTGCAAATACCCTTTCGCTTCAACCTTTCATGCAATTCAGGCACTGTCAATCGTTTGTTGTTTTCGTGAGCCATATTCGCCATTGTATGAAATCAACCGGAAGTGAACTGCGCAACAAACGGTGTCATTTTTTGATCACAGCGCCGCTCAGTGGTGAAATTTTGGGAGAGCAGAACGCCCGAATTGGGACACCCTACGCACTCGCACCCTTTATCGGGAACGCGCAAATGAGGGGCGCGAGGGTGGAAGTGCGAGTATAGGGCTGGAAAGTCTCGTCCCAGAAGCACTTCCGGTTCATTGCTCGGATACAAACAAACCGTCAGCTGTTCGAAGAGGCGGTTTAAGTGAATGGTGCATAATGCTCTGCTTTGTTTTCGGCTGTAATCATCACAGTTTACGCGACACATGCTCATTCTTTAGGTTTCCCAAAGACCAACAGAAGCTGTGGGAAAAGCTATGCAGTTGTGATAAAACATTTTGTCTGATTTTACAGATGTTTAACCTGAATATGTATTCAAGCTAACTTGTAGTTAATGCTAACCTGTAGTGCGCTGCCGAGCCTTTCATTGTGGCTTGTATTTTAAGATTAGATCAACTTTAACAGGATACGTATTTATTTGAGAGATAAAGGAGGAACATATTAGCACATATTAAATAACATTTAACAAATGTTCAAATATAACAGAAAACGGACAATCATAATATTAGTAGTAAATGAATAGGTAACCCAACTACATCATGTTATTTTTGACAGCACAGCAAAAAGAAAAAAGGCCCAAAGTGAAGCTGCAGTGTGAAGTGGAGATGGAGCTAATGTACAGATAGACAACTGATGATTCATAAACATTGGCTCATAACCAACGCAGCAAAGACAGCTGTAAGGGACATCAATGTATTTGCATGGGAATAGTGTTTCTATATTGTCTTTCTGATGCTTAATAGTGGATTAAAAAACAAGAACTTTGAACACGGCCCTGCACCTTTCTCATCTCCCCGTCATATAAACTTCAGGACATGGTCAGTTCACAGCTAATTCCGACCGCTCACTCAGTTTTTCTGTCCCAGAGACGAAATGTGTCCAAAATAACACAGGAAAGTCCTTTAAGGAGAAAGAAGTCGGCGATCTCAGCACCATACAAGTGGTACGTGTGGTTTGTTTGCATCCACGGGTGGAAATCTCGCAAAATCTCGCACTTCCGCTTTCCAGCCCTATTGGGACGGGGCCAAAGAAGAAGGAGAAAGAAGCCTCGCTCAGTCTGCGCATGCGCCTCCCTCAGTCTGCGCATGCGCCTCCCTCAGTCTGCACCTAGCGTCTGAAGAGGTGGGTCACGTTTTTACACTCTGCATGATTTCGGTTTGAATGATTAGAAAACTTTGAATATCCAAATTAAAATGTTATTTATGTTGTTACAAATCCAAATGTACAAGTCCGAGCCTTTTGAATCCATGTTTTGAGTCTGTAGTTTATGTAGTCACATGTGAGAGCTAGCTGCTAACAGGGGACTGCGTGTGATATGGAGAGACCATGAGGATTTGTGTTTTCTTTTCTTTTATACAGAACTGCAGATAAAGTCAACCAGTGATCCTACATGTGTCGTCGTGGTCCTTAAAGTGATTGTCTGGAGTTTGTCAGAAAGAGAGACAGAGAGGTACTTGATTTGAAAAAAACGACGCAAGCTCCCTCCCCCTTCCTTTCTGATTGGTCTACACCTACGTTTCCGTAACATTTTGAAATGTTAATCAGAGAACATATTATACATATAACGGGAGTGCACCCTGAGTCGGACACTTTCAGGTGCCTATTATCCTGAGTCGGACACCCCCACCTTTTTGTGGAACTCGTCCTTGCTGCCGCTGTTAGCTTTAGCGCTCGCGGCTAACGTTTGGTGGATACTTTCTACACATGTGTATCTTCCTCCGTGGTAAGTTTTGTCTGTTTTATATTAAGATTTTATAGAGTAATCCGCGTTTAAAGGCAGTTTTGATGCTACTACGCGCTCGGACGCTTAGGCGACGGTCTGTTGTTAGCTTTGGTTTGAAAATAGTTCTGGAAAATGTTCAGAACAGCCTCAGTCCGCATTACGTCATGTTAGCTTCAACTACACAGGCCATTCGGATTTAAGATACTGTCTGACGCTTTCTAGAGGTAAAGTTAAATTTGATGTGAAATGATGGATCTAAATTGATCATTTTCAATATTAATAGAACTTATTTTTCTCAACGTCAAATGATTGATTGTTTGTTTATGAGTGAAAATGCATTGCCCCATTTTCTGTAACAATTATTATTGAGCACGACATGGACAGAAAGGTTGGTAGCACACAGGCTCCAGCTCGTGATGTAAGAAAACATAATATTGACACATGTATCTTGTATTACTTTGTGTGTAAGTTTTAGTGAAGCAATATTACCGATTTTGTATTATGTGGATAAAAAACTCTGCTACTATAATACTTTCACCTCTGTTGAATTAACAATAATAGGACATGAAGATTAAACTGTGTTTTTGTTATTTTTAAGGAACAAAGAAACGAGGTGGACATCAATCACAATTAATGTTTGAGAAAAGGGTAAATACTTTGAAATGACTGCATACAAAGCCCAAGCAACCACCGTCCATGGGACCATAGGTCAGGTATGTTTGATTAGACATATAACTGTACAAGATATTCATTCAAAAGTGTATGAGCCTCTCAATGGGGTTCCGTGCATTAAAAAACAAGATCCTACACTGCCTTACTTGCATTGTCGAATGTATTTACAAATTATACATTTTTAAAGCCAAAGTAGGACAGCATGCAGGCTCCTTTCTTGTTTTTGAATGGAAATACAATAATAGGCTGGTAGGCAATGAGTGTCTATCTCAGAACAGGTACTCCCATATTGCCAGCAGTTTCTGATGAGTTTATAGATTTTTTAAGACCCACAGAATATTGTGTACTATGACTGGAATCCGAAACCAGATTCTGAAAGAATGGACTGTACTTCAGCAGCAAAAAGAATTGTTTCTAGCTTGTTTCGTTCTCCTGTAATCGCCAGTCGAGTAGAGGGAAGTTTTACTGAAATCACTAAAAAGCTGAGAAAAACGAGGCACAATAAGTGCATCTAGCCGTTTTTAAGCAATCCAGAGCGCTACTGCCACCGGTTGGCTTGATTAAAAAATGCTCTCAAGCGAATCCCCATACATATTAGATATAATAGACATCTGGGAACATGAAAATAGAGAAACGCAATTGCCGTATTAGTGCGTCAATGGCAGGCAACGAGTTAACCAACAGCTGTCAGGTGAAATTCTGCCACTGTGTGATCAATAAAGTGCTAACTTCTCTATCTCCTCCTTCAGGACTGGAGTCTCAGACATGGCCTTAGTAAGAACAGGGGCAAAGTCCAGACATGACACATGTGCATGTTCCTGAAGAACCCCAATCATCACAGCTGCAGAAGGTGAGCAAAATTATAAGTGCATCCAGACACAAACTGTAGTTCGTGTCTGGATATAGATGGTTTCAGCGGAGGAGCAAAGACCTGCTGTGTCCATGCCCCTCATCACAGGGAATTTACACAGTAGGCGTTAATAGCGCGTAAGCGTTGACTGCGCGTAATTTTTTTTTGCAGTATCTACACTGGCCGTGCGTGCAGGTGCGCGGCTTCTGATGCTGTCCTTGTGTAGTCTATGGAGCAGTGTAGAGGAAGGTTAACATGGGAAAAAGTTACGCACGTCTGCTGCGCTGGCAATGTTTTTTAGATGGTAAAAAGCTGCTGATGTTACTGATTTAATGTGGCTATTAATATTTAAGTCTGAGTCCAGTATTACCCCTAGATTTCTGACCGGGTTTGAAGGTTTTAGGGAGAGAGACTGGAGGTGACAGATGACGCTCTCTCTTTGTTTCTGGGGACCAAAGACAATCATTTCAGTTTTGTCCGCGTTCAGCTGAAGGAAGTTGTTTTGCATCCACTCACTGATCTGTTGGATACAGTGAAGGAGTGAGTCCACTGGTCCATGTTCTCCTGCAGTCAGTGAGGCATAGATCTGAGTATTAGTTTACTATTTGTGTGACAACGAATAATGGAAACTAAGGCTGTTATAACAAAAAGAGTTTTACCCATTCTCCATTTGACCCAAGTGATGACTCCTGCTTGGATTGTAGACACATTTTCCTTTCATTCTGCAGTCAATATGGAGTTAGCTGAGACTAAGCCTCTCCTCACATGTTAAAGACTATCGAAGATTCAATAAACCATTTAATGATCATTTTCTTATTACAACTATTTTAAAAATGATTGACCAATTTCAAAAATCAACTATTTTAGTAAACAATCATTTACAACTTCATATCTAGACTCTGGCACTGTCACAAGACTAAATGTTAATTATTTAAATAGTTGAAAACTAGTGCTAAAACAATATACATATTCGAGCCCTATTATTATTATTAATCTGTTTTGTGTAGTTTTTGGGCACTCAACAAGATGCTTCACAGGTCATTCTTTCATTGCATACACAGTGGTCAATTAATGAGAAAAACATACAAAATATAATATGTTCTTCCTTTTTTTCCCGTTAGGGTCAGAGCAGATGCCCAGACGTCCCACTCCACACACTTCCTCCAGCTCATCAGGAGGAATCCTGAGGCGTTGCCAGGCCAGCTGAGAGACACAGTCCCTCCAACATGTCCTGGGTCTTTCCTGGTCTCCACCAAGAAGTGAAGTTGACTGAATGACTAAGTTTACAATCTCACCAGCTGCATTAGTGCAGTCAGCTGATGCTTTAAGTCATTATCTACAAGATGAAACATTGGGACTAGGGCCCTCTGTGGGTCACAGGGACCAGGGCTTATATTGGAGGTTTGAGGGTAATTTTCTTTAGTGCAGTACAAGTACAGAGTACAGAGGGATGAATGCCACCTCACTCCTAACATCACAACCTTTGAACTTCTGAATACCTGTACACTTCACACTGTCTAAAGCAAGAGGGTACTCACTTTTCATGGTTTATTGTTCTCTAATGTTCTCATGTTCTTGTTTTACAGTATAACCCTTCTCATCCTCAAAACCTGAAGCACTTCTTCTCATCTCCTGCCTGCATCCCTTAAGCATCTCATTGAATTTTCAACTTGGATATTTGGAGTATTTTGGGTGTGAAGATTGAGTTCCTGTCAGTCGGAGGCAGCTCTTCCTTCATTGTACATCAACATTATCTATTGTTAAAACAAAGGCATGGTTAGGGATTTTTGTAAGCTTTGCACACATGCAAACATATGTGACATTAACATAACATTAATAATAACATTCAGAGCATTAAACTTACAGATATAAACAGTTCACATCATGACAAACTGGAGCAGAGCTGGGTGAGGCACCGAGACACTGCAGGGCTTTCAAACAAGGCTCTATGTCTATAAATTTTTTTATCCACTTTTAAAATTCTGTGCCATTACCTTATGACTTCATGTGTTTAATAAAATATTATTTATAACAAATAATGTTGACATGTAAATGGCATCTTTTCAAAGCTTGTTCTGGGAAGGTTGTCTTTGGTATTACTGTAAGCTAAAGCTATTTTTGTAACATTTTAATACCATCATTTAATACTTTTTATTTATATTTTTGTTAATTGGCTACTACAGTGAATGCTACCTATATTAATTTTTCTAGTTGGGGGAAAGAAGAATTTAGAAACTTTAATCCTAAAATTATAAAACAATTCAAGTGTGCTTGTGGCATTTTACGAGTGTAAAAAATATATTTAAAAACGAAATGACCAGGGGAAAATTGTTATTAAAGACAAGATCTTTGTGCTAACCAGTTAGCACTGCCCAAAGTTAATGCAAAACTGTTGAAATATAGTCATTTCGGAGCCTATGCGCCAGCGCCGCGGAGCCGTGAGAGAGCGATGGAACCACGGATCTATTCGAGTGGAATCTGTACAAACTCTGGAACTGAGGTGTCCGACTCAGGATAATAGTTCCAGCCAAAACATCGATGTTTTTTGTCTTTTCAACAGCATATAGAAAACCACATTTAAATAAGGCATTATTCATATATATCGTTCGAAAGCTAACACTTTTAACTTCCGTTTTATGCTAGTAACGTTCGCGAAATAGTTAACTCATTGTGTCCCATTGACGCATAAGTGCGTCAAAGCAAATAGTAACGTGGTGTGCCAATGACGCATTAATACGTCAAATGCCTTTTTCGCTATTTTCATGTTCCCAGATGTCTATTACATCTAATGTGAATGGGGATTACGATTAGAACTTATTTTATTGAGCCAGCAGGTGGCAGCAGCGCTGCGTCTAGATGTTTTGTAAACAGGATACACTTGTTGTGAGATCTGAGCACATGGTGGAGTAGAGCAGACAGACAGAGACAGAGAGAGATCAGTATGGATAAATCAGCGCATTACAAACAGCTCACGCTGGAACAAGTGTTTGGTGGCTCCAAGCAGAGGGTTTCTACAGCTGATAGTGGAGAGGGGGGATCGCGGCAGCCCAAAAAAGCTGCTAAAAAGTGCGCTACTGCGCAGGCTAGCGCGCAGCCTGCACCTGGAAGGAGAGGCCGTGTTTTGGCAAGGCGAGATGAGGATGAGAGCAGTTCGGAAGAATTCACTGAGCCAGACCCGGATTCTTCGTCAGAGTGGCTCCCATCTGGGTCTGCAAGCAGCAGAGAGTCCTCCCCTGACGCTTTTACTCGCGCGTCAAGCAGAACCACCGCCAGAGAAGGTAATGCAGACAAATAACATGAGAGAGTATAACATCATATAATTTTGCATTTCTAATGATAATTGTATATTTATTGTATATTTATGATAATTGTATCTATAATTTTGCATTTCTTATGATTATTTTATATTTACAGATTGTGGATCAAGGAAAGCAGCCACACCCAGGAACCCTGCTGTTGATAGAACAGGTAATATATACATATAATATATATAAATATACATAAATATGTGTAATATCTGTAATGTGTATAATCTATAAAATATGTGTAATGTATACAATATGTATAGTATATACGTGGATGCATATATATTTTAATCTTTCCATCTTATCTAAAGCCATAATAAAGGTATCATATTGTATTTTACAGCCTCTACATCGAGCAGTGTCACTGCCAGTGTCACATCTGCCAGTTCAGTTGGTGTGAAGAAGAGAAAAGGTAAAAATGTCTTTCTGCACATCACATCAAAGCACTCAAACAATATTTATGTTCATTCTTTGTATATATTTCAATAATGTATTACAGTTACAAAGAGTAAAGATGGCAGCTGGTCTAGGGATGACTGGAGACCAAAGGTTTTCCCCTTCACCTCCACACCTGGACCCCGGAATGCTGCTGCAGAGCTGGATTCTTCGCTGCCGGCTGACTTCCTGGAGCTGTTCATTACAGATGAGCTGCTCCGTCATATTGTTCAGCAGACAAATCTGTATGCCGAGCAATATTTTCAGGCACACTCAGAGATTGTGCCACACAGCAGAGGGCATGTGTGGAAACCGGTGTCCATCCCTGAGTTGAAAAAATTCTTTGGACTTAGCTTTTTGACCGGGTACATAAAAAAACCACGCCTGCCGATGTACTGGGTGTCAACGAGATGGAGGCGACACCATATTTCAATCAGACCATGTCCAGGAACAGGTTCCAAATAATATGGAGGTTCCTCCACTATAACAATAACATGTCTGTTGATGCTATGGACAAGATGTTCAAGGTTCGCCCTGTCTTGGACTACCTTGTCCAAAAGTTCAAGGACATGTTCCAACCTGGGCAGAACATCTGCATTGACGAGGGGATGATGCAGTGGCGAGGACGGCTGTCCTTTAAAGTCTACAACCCCCAGAAGCCAGTCAAATATGGCATAAAATCATATGTCCTGTGTGACTCGGCCTCTGGGTACTGCTTTAACCTGCAGCCTTATGTTGGGGAACCACGTACCCTGCCCGAAATTGTTTTTTCCCTCCTTGATCGTCTCCCAGGTGCTGGACATACATTGTTTATGGACAATTTTTATAATTCCATTTCACTTTGTGAGCAGCTACAGGAGGCGGGACACTGAGGAGGAACCGGGGAGAGCCTCAGGTGATCAGGGATGTCACCAAGTCTGACCTGGGTGTGGGGGGGAGGCTTGTGTACCACAACAACAAGGTCATGGTGGTAGCCTGGCAGGACAAAAGGCTGGTCAGGATGGTGACGACCTGTCACCAGGACAACATGGAGAGTGTTGATGTGTGGCAGAGGGGACACCGGGAAAAGGTGACCCAGTTAAAGCCGGAGTGTGTTGTGGCCTACAATGCATCTATGAATGGGGTAGATAGGTTAGACCAGAACATAGCCTACTACCCCTTCGTCAGGAAGTCGCTGAACTGGTCGAAAAAGTTTGTCGCTTATTTGTTCCAAATCTCGATGTATAATGCTTTTATTTTATACAGAGCTAGGAACAGAGAGTGTACGACGCTTTTAGCGTTCATGCGGCAGGTGGTAAAGTCCTGGACCACTAAACCTCATGTAGAGGAGGTGAAGGTGGAGGATGTGGAGGTGGAGGTGGGGAATGTGGAGGAGGAGGAAGTAGGTGTGGAAAGAGAGGCTCCACGTAACCCAAGGGCTCCCTACAAGAGAGACCCTGAGAGCAGGCGTGATGGAAGGATGGCGAGGCACAAGCTGGAGTACCTTCCCTCCAGCAGTAAGGCTAGACCCTCAAGGAGGTGTAGGGTCTGCGCACGCAAGGGCCTGCGCAGTGAGACCAGGCTGTGGTGCAAGTCCTGTCGTGTCCCTTTACATCCCAGAGAGTGCTTTACCGCCCACACACACAACACACAACACACAAACACCCCAACACACACACACACACACACACACACACACACACTGTGTATAGCGTTTACTGTATGTATTTTCTAAATGGTTCTTTTTTTGTGAACTTGTATTATACTGTATTTTGCAATCAAAAGCACTTTTATTTTTTGTTTTTGCTGTTTTATTTATAGGAACAATGTTCACAAGTTCAAAAAATGACAAAAGTAAAACATCTTTTTGTCAAAGTCACTTTTTCTGCATGGTGTGGTCATTTTCACATAAGTGTCTTTTTCTCAGCTTTTTGTCTGAGACTGGTGATTTCAGTAAAACTTCCCTTCACTCGACTGGGGATAACAGGGGAACAAAACAAGCTAGAAACAAATGAAAGTATGCTGATGAAAGTAGACAGTCCAATCTTTCAGAATCTGGTTTCGGATTTCAGATAGTCATAGTACACAATATTCTGTGGGTCTTGAAAAATCAGTAAAAATCATCAGAAATGGCTGGCACTGTGGGAGTACCTGTTCTGAAATAGGCTGGCATTCAATGAGTTAAGTTTATGTTTTTATAGCCCGTTGAAGTGGGTAACCGGTGCCTTTTTTAAGCCCGAAGTGTCCGACTTAGGAAACAGATACGCTACATTATTAATACACATGCACGGAGGTTATCAGAATTATTTGTGAACGTTTTAATGAAAACATGTTTTTATGCACACAAAAAAGCGATCGCGGCAAACCAGGAAGTGCTATTATCATGAATTGCACATTATAGGACACATCTGCAGAGGATCTGATTATGGATATAGGTTCAGTATATACATAAGTAACTCAGCGCGGATGTTCAGTTTTCATGTAGTTCCAGAGCCTAATAGAGGCTCCGCATGCGAGCATCAGCGCCGATGATTGACAGCCCTTGGCATGACTTGATTGGTTAACCTCGACGGCACAGTGGATTCTGAACTATGGCTAAGAGCAGGGAAGGCGGGACTTGCCCGTAATATTAGAATTAATAAAATGACTTATTTTATATCAACATTTAAGGCCAGGAGGTCAATTTAACACATTTCCTAAAATTTGTAATTCATTTAGAGTTACAGACTATCACTTTAATCAGCCAGCGTACCCCTATGTCAGACTGTACATTTCCCTATTTCTGTTTCTAAAGTTCATTGTATGACGTCATAGTTTATATCTGTTCATAGCCACACGGACAGACCCAGGACTGAGGCTGAGGCTGCAGACCCAGGACTGAGGCTGCAGACCCAG